CTTCATCCTCAATGTCAGAGGTGCTGATGTAACCATCTTCTATAGCAATGTATGCCCGCTGACTTGGGCAGTCCTTCTGCACATGGCCAATGCCATGGCAGCGGTGGCACTGAATGACCAAAGTGTGTCCTATCGATGCAATGGATGAGGCACTCTTGGTAGGCACCTGCAAAGAATTTTTACCTAAATCTGAAGATCATGCGGGAGGTGCCTTAGGTGTAGCGGTAACTCCAGAGGCTGCTTGTCGCTTGCTCGCTGATGGAGGTGCCCGAAAAGTGGTTGGCTTGGTCAGACCCAAAGATGGTGTCGAGCGTGGCGTGTATGTGGTGCTGACCTTGCTCTTGCTCTGCTGTTCACGCCCCTGCAATTCCTTTTCTGCAAGCATAACAAACTAAAACAACTGGTTGACAATGTTAAATTCTTTATAATCAACAATGTCCTGAATCTCGTGCCTCAAACCCAAATAAAAATGACAAATGGAATCTTTGTTCCCCTCCACAACACTACAACGCATCAATCCCTTTTGGAGCTCACCATAGTAATCCTGTATAGATTTCTCTCCTTGTTCTAAATGCATTAATTTCTTATGCAAGTCCTTATGATAAGGAGGAACAAAACGATCATGCATAGCTATCTTAGATTCTTCCCACGTACCAGGTAAAGCATCATGTGCAGCTAGCCCATTCCACCAAATAATGACAAAGTCCTTAAACTCACTGGTAGCTTGTCGAACTCTATGATGCTCAGGCACAAGGTGGGCACTAAACTTTTGTTCTACCGTTATCTCCCAATCAAGATATCCCTCAGCATCATAATGACCCAAAAAAGATGGTATTGTGAACTTAATCTTAGCATAAGGATCAGCGGGCACTCGATGATTATTACCTTGATGGTGGTGGACACCACCCATACCTGTCGTGTTGCGGCGAAGACGTCGTCGTAATCTTGCTTGTTGGAAGGCTGCTCGATCTATGTTCCTAGTGGCATCATGCACCGTGTCTTCTGGCAAGAGACCATCAATGTTGCTGCCAGAGACATTGTTGTTGACCGCCACCAAGGTTTCAAACTCAGTAACCTTGTCGGTTAGCGTGGAAATTCGTTTGTCCAACCTCTCCATGTTGTTGCCAATGTTGAGTTCAATGAGTGCGTCAGTGACAGCCTTTCTGATGGCCTCATTCATACTTTTTTGGGCATTATCTACAGCAGCTTGCAGTTGCTCTTGGCTGACACACTCAATGAAATCCTTGGGGCTGTTATCTCCAGTCTGATCACCTCCTGCCAATGTAAACATAAAAATAGGAACAAACGGTGAAGGTTATCCCTACCTAATGACTATGTGGTTGCAGTGGTGTCACTTTTCACAGCAAGTGGAAGCGTCTTACCAAGCTCTTACAAAGTTCTTACCAACACAAGCAATGGGCGGTACAACCGGTGGCTGGTTCATGATACCTGTGAGGCAGTGGTACAGAGATTGCAAGACCCTTTTTCTGTACTGATCTAAAGAGTTTGTGGAGCTTGGAAGGCACACAAAGAATAATATGTATATTTGGCACACAAGTCAGTAACAGAAAGTAATGCTGAATTATAGTCCAAAGTACTTGTTCTCGTTGCTGGTCTAAAATGTTCCAAGTACCAGTGTGTGACAAACAAGTATGGTGGATAGCAAGGTGACAGGTGTGTGAAAAACAAGTATGGTGGATGGCAATAGCAACACAAACAAGGAACCAGATAGCACACGCTAACACAGCTCACTTTGGCCTTCTCTATGTGCTCCTCTAGATATTGTTCCTCTTTTGCCCCTCTCTTTTTTCTATTTTTTGGGATGTTGTTTTTTGGGAAATTTCAACTTTTTCTTTTTCTTTTTTTGATATTTTTCCTTCACTTACGAGCACAAAAGAAGTAACCATAGAAAATATGAGCTTAAGCAAGTGAAAGGCGTGGCCTGTGGAAATTTCAAAAGACGTGCTCAAAATCGACAAAAAGCTTGTGACCACGAAAAGAGGATCTTGTGATCAGTTTTTGACCAAATTAAAATTTTCCAACCCCAACAAGCTAGGGGATGGATGGATCCAAAAAAAATTCTGATCAATTTTGATATATGGAATGTCAAAATCCGAGTTTGTATGCGAAAACTAGACCAGTTTTAAGAATTGGCTCTGAATTAGAGGACAAAACAGGAACAATGTGCGCAAAATTGGTCACGGTAGCAAAGATTTGATGGAAACGATGGGGGAAAACACACAAACTAGACTCTAACATGACCTAACCAGCAACAAGACCTTGACCAGGACACAAACTCAACACGACGGACTCTGAAACTGAAATATGCAAATGCTATGGCGCGGAAGGTTCTAGGACAGGAAAAAAAAGTATGGCACTGGACTATGGGACGAATGCGAAACACTCCAAACTAGGGGATAAATATGAACCTGACGGTATACCTTAGCTCTGATTACCACTTAATGGAAATGGGGAACCCGATCTTCCATCAGGTAGTGATAACTATCGTTGTGGCGGAGAATGACACACCGATCCAGCTTCATATCGAAAGATCGAACCCTGCAATTCTTAGCACCACAACTCCTCTGATTATCAACCGAGACACGGATCTAGTTGACCTCACCAAGAAGGCTAATCCCTGCCTGCGCAACGAAGAATACAAGCAAGAACAAGAAAGAAAGCAATCAAATTGCAGATGAATGATTAATCTCATGTAGTTTAAGGCAGACTGGTCCTGGAGGCCGAGGCAGACTCGAAATCATGTTGGACCGGGCCTCCGGTTTCTGTTGAACGTCCTTGCTGGTCATCAACACCTCCACCTCTTCCTCTAAGTCCCTCATGACCCTCTCCAATGTTCCTAAGCAAGATAACATCATTAGGTAGTAGTCTATTCTCAAAAGTATGAAAAGGATCGCTTAAGAACGAGCTCACCTCTAAATTGAGTTGACGCATTCGAGCCCGTGTCATTGGACCTTGCATGCCGGTTGGAGGATCAATGGGTACATCCAAAGGAGTGATGTCCTCATCAATAAATGTGTGGCACAATGTATTACATCCATGCGCATGGCAAATAAGTGATGGTGTGTATCCTTAAATCAATTTAATACATAAAACGTGGTCACACAAAACTTCACATTATGACGATACGTTTCATGATTTCTCGTCCTGCCTTGTTTTAGCCTTCTCAACCCAATTCCCAATGATTGGTAACAAGCATTTGGACGTGATGTCCTTCTTGTTGGTGTGTGATGTAGTGTGGATGGGCTTGCTAGCCTAGCATTGTCTAGTCCTCCTAACCAGTGTGGGCTTGTTGCTACTTTTGGCACTGCCAGTACTGCTAGATAGGCCACAAATATCACCTCCATGATAGTTAGGGTGCTTGAAATTGTGATATAAGGAGATGCATCTCCTACAGAGGGCACTGGGGTAACAATGCGATAGTTGGGACTCATATAGATGTAGCAATTGATCAGTTCTCTAACAACGATGATGAGACCAATGCCTCACAGTTCATCATAACCTCTAGAACATACAATTCCGTAGCATATCCTGATGACAACTCAAGGTTTTCTTGTTGCAAACTCCTCTAATGATCTACTAGGAAATGAGAAAACTATGTGTAGAATATGTTTCCTACTGAGGGTATCACGGGCGATTGAGAGATCCATCCATCCATTCGACAAAAAATAATATATTAAACTTTTTAACTGTTTTGTACCTAAACCTCTCCTAGTCCCCTTGATGTCCAGCACATCTCTCTACGAGATCTGACGACATCAAAGGTGGCTTTGACGATTTTATGGCATCCCTGTTGTTCAATTTCCTGATGGGTCATCCCTTGAGGGCTTCGTGGGTCTTTTTGGCAAAGAACTAGCATTGAATTGGCCTCTCTGTAAAGCTAGTCAGCCTTGCCATTTAGATGTATATCCATTGTGTATCTTGGACATGTGCATCCCGGACGATCAAGCCCATGCTAGTGTGTGATCGAAATTCGCATCAACACACCATTTACCAACTTTGTTGGGGAAGGAAGCAAACATATCTACTACTATGGCTAATAGCATGCAAAATGGTCCAACTGATGCAAGCAATCCCATGTACATCATGAAGCCTTTGGCCGATCAACTTCCTAATGAGATTTGCAAGATGCTAGAGAAGTGGGCATAGGACGGAGTTGTTACTAACCTATAGTATGCTCTAGTGTGCTTTACAGTTTATCGGCTAGAGCCATTCGAGAAGATTAAAGGCATCAAAATTGATTTTATTCCTGCTACAGCTTCATCTGAGGTAAAAACTCAACCACCTCCAAGATCTGGGGGGAGGGAATTTTACTCAACTGACCAATAATTAGCTGCTATTAGTTTGGTGTGCTTAGGAATCAAGATAGTTGTTGGCTTGGTGTCCATCTAATAGTTAGCTAACCTAATACCCAGGTCTATTGGATCCACCGCAACTAATTTTTAGCAGCTAATAACTACTATCTGGTTGGATCCAACCCAACCCTCAACTCATGTTAAAGTGTTGTTAATTATGATCAATATAATATTAGCAGTAATCAAAATTGATATGGTGTATTAGCAACCAATAAGTGCCTATGCATGGTAGATTGGTATGGAGTGAATCTATATCATTAAAATTTTGATTTTCAAGGATCGAAATAGATATGACATTATTAGGCAGCATATGCTTACTTATGAAGTAAGATGAGAAATTGTAAATATATGATTTAAATAGCTACCATCGGTGTAAACATTGAGTGGGTAAAATATATAAGAGGATATTGGTGCTACGAGTTAAAATCTCAAGATATGATATTTTCTAAGGAAAAAATGACAAGAATTGATTGCTCAAGGTTAATTTGGTTGTGGCTCAAGCCTATATAAGAAAAGACCTACAAGCATAGGGGCACTCAATTCTCTATAAGCGAACAACCACAAAGCGTAGGTGCATCTTCAAGGGACCAAGTAGCCTCTACTTATGGAAGCCTAGCCTAGAGCTTCATGGTGTGTTCCAAGAAGACTCTCGCTATTGTCGTTGTTCTGCTGCTGATGGCTCTCCTTGCCTCGGCCATTCCAGCAAGCCAAGGTAGTCGTGCCCTGTTAGGAGCCGAGCAGTGCTCCAAATCTGACAACTGCAATGAACAGTCGTGTGGGGCGATGTGCGCCGTCTTGGGGTTGAATGCTGCTGGGGTATGCAACGTTGTTGGTGTGGTCTCCTCCTGTTGTTGCGTCCCAAAACCATCCACCTCCATCGGCATCCGCCACTAGCTTGTTCGCTGATTCATCAATTTGTCGACTCAAGATAGAGAAACTGCATTTTTGTTAGCAATATGTAATATGTTCTACAAGGGACAAATGTGTGGCACAATGTATTACATCCATGTGCATGGCAAATAAGTGATGGTGTGTATCCTTAAATCAATTTAATACACAAAACGTGGTTACGCAAAACTTCACATTATGACAATACGTTTGGTGATTTCTCGTCCTGCCTTGTTTTAGCCTTCTCAACCCAATTCCAAATGATTGGTGACAAGCAGTTGGATGTGATGTCCTTCTTGTTGGTGTGTGATGCAGGGTGGATGGGCTTGCTCACCTAGCATTGTCCAATTCTCCTAACCTGTGTGGGCTTGTTGCTACTTTTGGCACTGCCAGTACTGCTAGATAGGCCACAAATATCACCTCCAAGATATTTAGGGTGCTTGTAATTGTGATATAAGGAGATGCATTTCCTATAGAGGGCACTAGGGTAACAATGCGATAGTTGGGACTCATATAGATGTAGCTATTGATCAGTTCTCTAACAACGATGATGAGACCATTGCCTCACAGTTCATCAAAACCTCTAGAACATACAATTCTGTAGCATATCCTGATGACAACTCAAGGTTTTCTTGTTGAAAACTCCTCCGATGATCTAATAGGAAACGAGAAAACTATGTGTAGAATATGTTTCCTACTGAGGGTATCACGGGCGATTGAGAGATCCATCCATCCATTCGACAAAAAATAATCTATTAAACTTTTTAACTGTTTTGTACCTAAACCTCTCCCAGTACCCTTGATGTCCAGCGCATCTCTCTACGAGATCTGATGACATCAAAGGTGGCTTTGACGATTTTATGGCAGCCCTGTTGTTCAATTTCCTGATGGGTCATCCCATGATGGCTTCGTGGGCCTTTTTGGCAAAGAACTAGCATTGAATCGGCCTCTCTGTAAAGCTAGTTAGCCTTGCCATTTAGATCTATATCCATCATGTATCTTGGACATGTGCAGCCCGGACGATCAAGCCCATGCTAGTGTGTGACCGGAATTCGCATCAACACACAATTTACCAACTTTGTTGGGGAAGGAAGCAAACATATCTACTACTATGGACGATGGCATGCAAAATGGTCCGACTTATCCAAGAAATCCCATGTACATCATGAAGCCTTTGGCCGATCAACTTCCTAATGAGATTTGCAAGATGCTAGAGAAGAGGGCATAGGCCAGAGTTGTTACTAACCTATAGTACGCTCTAGTGTGCTTTAAAGTTTATCGGCTAGAGCCTTTCGGGAATATTAAAGGCATCCAAATTGATTTTATTCCTGCTACAACTTCATCTGAGGCAAAAACTCCTCAACCACCTCCAAGATCTGGGGGGAGGGAATTTTAATGAACTGACCAATAATTAGCTGCAATTAGTTTGGTGTGCTTAGGTAACAAGATAGTTGTTGGCTTGGTGTCCATCCAATAGTTAGCCAACCTAATAGCCAGGTCTATTTGATCCACCGCAACTAATTTTTAGCAGCTAATAACTACTATCTGGTTGGATCCAACCCGACCCTCAAATCATGTTAAAGTGTTGTTAATTATGATCAATATAATATTAGCAGTAATCAAAATTGATATGGTGTATTAACAGCCAATAAGTGCCTATGCATGGTAGATTGGTATGGAGTGAATCTGTATCATTCAAAATTTGATTTCAAGTAACAAAATAGATATGACATTATTAGGCAGCATATGCTCACTTATGAAGTAAGATGATAAATTGTAAATATACGATTTAAATAGATACCATCGGTGTAAACATTGAGTGGGTAAAATATGTTAGAGGATATTGGTGCTACGAGTAAAAATCTCAAGATATGATATTTTTTAAGGAAAAAATTACAAAAATTGATTGCTCAAGGTTAATTTGGTGGTGGCTCAAGCCTATATAAGAAAAGACCCACAAGCATAGGGGCACTCAATTCTCTATGAGCGAACAACCACAAAGCATGGGAGCATCATCAAGGGACCAAGTAGACTCTACTTACGGAAGCCTAGCCTAGAGCATCATGGTGTGTTCCAAGAAGACTCTCATTATTGTCGTTGTTCTACTGCTGATGGCTCTCCTTGCCTCGGCCGTTCCTGCAAGCCAAGGTGGTCGTGCCCTGTTAGGAGCAGAGCAGTGCTCCAAATCTGACAACTGCAACGAACAGTCGTGTGGGACGACGTGCGCCATCTTGTGGTTGAATGTTGTTGGGGTATGCAACTTTGTTGGTCGGGTCTCCACCTGTTGTTGTGTCCCAAAACCATCCACCTCCATCGGCATCTGCTACTAGCTTGTTCGCTGATTCATCAATTTGTCGATTCAAGATAGGGAAACTGCATTTTTGTTAGCAATATGTAATATGTTCTACATGGGACAAATGTGTGGCACAATGTATTACATCCATGCGCATGGCAAATAGGTGATGGTGTGTATCCTTAAATCAATTTAATACATAAAATGTGGTCACGCAAAACTTTTCAATATGGCGATACGTTTGAGGATTTCTCGTCCTACCTTGTTTTAGCCTTCTCAACCCCATTCCCAATGTTTGGTAACAAGCATTTGGATGTGATGTCCTTCTTGTTGGTGTGTGATGTAGTTTGGATGGGCTTGCTAGCCTAGCATTGTCCGGTCCTCCTAACCAGTGTGGGCTTGTTGCTACTTTTGGCACTACCAGTACTGCTGGAGAGGCCACAAATATCAGCTCCGTGATAGTTAGGGTGCTTGAAATTGAAATATAAGGAGATGCATCTCCTACATAGTGATGTAGACTAGGCCCGATCTTTCGAAAAGTATGATAGCATCGATTGGTGGAGACTCGATGTTCACGATCTAGGCTTCGAACCAAGACTGATTCAGACCCCTGCAAACGTTACACCACTGCTCCGTTGGTTATCAACCACGCGAACACGATTGACCTCGCCGAGAAGGATTTCCTGCAAGCGAATCGAGAACACAAGCAAGAACGGGATGAACGCAATCTAAAATTGCAAATAAATATGAGGCTTATGAAAATAAGGAGTTCAAGTCTTTATTCGAAAGGACTAATCGACACAAGCGAACAAGATCAAGAACTGGGGCCCTGGTTCACAGCAAGCAGCCTTGGCGGCATAGTTGCAGCAAAACGATGTCTGTTTCACGAGAAATCAAGAACTAAACAAAACCCAAACCCTAAGGAGAGCAACAGCTGGTATTTATAGAGTCTTGGGTGTCACCCCCCTGGACGCGCCCCCTAATGGGCCCAAACACGATACACGGTCCAACAGACCAAAATATGGTGTCGCATCACCCTGACAGATTCTGGACGCTGACTTGTTTTGACGATTCCCGTTGATTCCGAAGGTCTTTTAACGTGAAACCAATTGGGTTGGCTTCCTTATCCAATTAGCTTTCCATCCATATGTGGATCATCGAAAACGGAGTCTGGATGCATCCTGGGTGACCAGTTTAAGGCAGACTGCTCCTGGAGGCCAAGGCAGACTCGAACTTGAGTTGCTTTGGGCCTCCACCTTGGGGACTCGAACCGAATTAGCCTCGGACCTCCTTCTTGACTTGGACACCCTTGCTGGCCTCCTACCCCTCCATACCATGTGCCAAACATGGTCATATGCATGGGTGTCATGTCCTCATCATCCTCCCCTTCTTGACGAAAAGCCGTCCTCGGCGTCGACTGTGCTTGAAACTGATCCTGCACAATATAAAGGAGAACGGGGTTGCGAAAACAAAGGGAACTGAAATAATTGTGAGAAGGAACGTGACCATGTTTCCAAGTTTGTAGCATGTCATCTCGCATAAAATTTTCAGCAAGCATGTGGACTCCATAATCCGAATGCACACGATGTATGTCAACACTATCCTGCAAAAGATTAGAACTAACCAAAGACAATGCAGGAATAGATGATCTAACAGACATAGGTAGCAACCAACAATGCTCCCTTTCTTGGAAGTGAACTTGTTTCTTTGAGGAACATGAGAAAATGTTTGTATTATTATGGCTGACCTCTAAACGATCATAATCTTGTACAACAAAAGGAGAATTCATATTACTGCGAATGTATACTCGATGTATCATATATTGTCCCTTGTTGTTATATTTGCCAATAACATGATATGTATGTTTAGAAAACCAAGGCAAATCAACATATTCAAATAGTCTCTCCTCCAAACAATCTAGGTTACACAAAACATCAAATTCAATGTATCCCAAAGTATATAAAGAAGACAATAGTTTGAACTCATCAGTTTTAGTAGCAATATGAATAATATGTTTATTTTCAGCGCAAGTGGTTGGTTCCAAAACATGTAAAACTGAAGCATCATCAACCAATTCATCTTTATCACAAGGAACATCAAGCAAATTATCATGGGACAAAGATAAATCAAGAGAGGGTTCCACTAACAATTACTCTATGATAGCATGGTGTGTGGAAGAATTTAGTACATTAAAATAATTCTCACCTTCTGTTAGTGTAGCACCACGGGCATTACCTGTGTTCTCAGCAGGAGTAATAGGTGCATTGTTAAGTGATGGTTTTGAATTTGTATATAAGGTTGTGAGTTCCTCATTTTCTTCCATGTCATCCTCTCGCTTATGTACATTATCCTGCAGAAGGTTAGTCATAGCAAGAGGAATAACAACAGACTCTTCCTCTAAATGGTGCACCTCATCATATGAAGTCAAAACAGGAGGTGGATTAACAAAGGTTTCTTGCATAAGGAGTTTCATATCATTCTAAGTTTGAGGTTTATTAGAAGGATCTAAAGACTCCCACCAAGATAAAGCAGAATGCCGTAAAACACTAGCTGCATTTGTTACCTTCCTCCTTGGACACATAAAGCGAGTAGCAAATATGTTATCTATGGCAATTTCCCACTCCATGTAGTCATTAGCACCTATACCATTATAAGTCGATGGATACGAACAACCTGTCATTGTTAGAAGTCAGCAAAAGACAACACAAAAGTATTATCCCTATCAACTACTTAGGTTGTGGACAAGGAAAAAACAAGGCACTCAACTCTCAAGCATCTTACCACGGTCTTACGAGTGTTCTTACCGAAGCAACAGGCGGTGCAATTGGACGGTGACTGTGATACCGTTATAGCTTGAGTGTAACAGTTGCAAGGCAAACCTATACTTGGTTAGAAGAAAGTGAAGCTTGGACAGGCACAATATAGTAGCAAGAAATAGCAAAATTTGCAACTGAATAGCAAGCTGAATAAGTATCCCAAGTACTTGTCTTAGTTGCTGGCCTACTCACGTTCCAAGTACCAGATGTATCAAGTGATTGAACAGCAAGAATATGATTAGGAACAA